TAAAGATTTAAATCTTGAATTTCCCTATTGGGCCCCCATAGGGGCCTCACCCTTCGTTCAAGGATACTCCAGGCTTAATTGGGATAAGATCCCTTAATTCCTATATATCCACCGTTTATACAAAACTGAGTCCCCTTGGCCCAAGGTGCTCCAGACCAAATTAGGATAAAATCCTATATGAAGGATTTCAAAGGTTTGCATCTATTTGCCTCTATTTCCCCTATTGGGCCCTACCCCTCTGCCCACAGGTGGTCCACACCCACCGTTTATACAAAATTGAGTTCCCTTGGCTTAAGGATGCTCAAGACCAAATTTAGTCAAAATCTACTTGGCCGTTTAGGACAAGTAGCACTTTAAAGGAAATGTGTCTGTTTATCTCTTCATGATTCTCATTGGATAGAGGGGACATTTCGCCATAACAATTTTACAAATTTCTTAGTCTGCACTGTCATTATTAGTTCTTTACTCATATATCTATATACTACTCACATTTTGCTAAGGATCACCTATATTTTGAAGAAAAAAACACAAAATGTAAGAAAGGATATTATGTTTCCCTTCCGTACTGATTTGGGTGTGTTCAATGTGTGGGTGTGTTCAGTCAACCATAAAAGCCTGTTTACGCTTTTCCACGTGTACTTACTTACTTACTGCCTTTTACGCCCGGTGGCGTTTAGGGCAGCAACAAAGTTCCTCCACACCTGTCGATCTTTTGCTAAACGCTTCCAAGTAAACATGTACACCCCTTTTAAAAGCTAAGCTAGGCTAAGTAAGGTGTTTTTCAAATTGTCAAGGAAATCAATTTGATGAATATTCTTTGCGTGTTTTTGTTTGAATATGGCACAAAGACGAACCAGACAACGGTTAAATGATCGGAATGCTGCAAGCTAGCATGTATCAACATCAGGTTGAAGCAGACCTTGGGGTGTATCAAAGTGTTGTGGCAAGAATATAAAATTGTTTCCAAACTAACAGAAACCCTTCCAGACGTCATGCTGGAGGACGTTCTAGGGCTGCAATGCAGCGCCAATACCGATATTTGCTCATACAGGCATGGCGTCACAGGTTCCAGACTGTCACAGCTTTACAAAATGACCTCTTTTATTTAAATAAATGCTTGTGGTACCCAGGTAGCCACTCAGACAGTTAGGAACCATCTTCATGGTGCTGGTTTAAGGTCACGTAGACCAGCAATACGAGTTCCCTTAACTGCCCGCCATGTTAGGGACCAATTGGATTGGACCCAAGCTCACAGCACTTGGACTCTTCAGGAATGGGAACTGGTTCTTTTTACTGACAAGTCTAGATTCTGTCTTGACTTCACCGACAGGTTAGAGTAAAGAGACAACCTGGGGAGAGGTTCCAGGCAGGTAACGTTGTTGAACATGACCGATATGGCGGAGGTTCAGTGATGGTGTGCGGAGGCATAAACCTTCATCGGAAAACTGACCTCCATGTTTTCCATAATGGTACCGTGATTTACTGCGATGAAGTCCTTGATGGCTATGTCAGACCCTACGCTAGCGCTATCGGCCCTAACTTCATCCTTATGGACTGTACTGCTAGACCATATAGAGCAAGGGTCACTGAGCAGTATCTACAGCAAGAGACTATTCAACAAATGAATTGGCCAGCCCGCTCGCTGGATCTAAATCCCATCGAGCATGTGTGGCACATGCTGCAGACAGCTCTCTCTGCCAGAAATGTTAAGTCAAGAACACTCCAGGAGCTGGGAACAGCCTTGGTAGCTGAGTGAAATGCTATCCCACAAAACCGGATACGCGATCTCATTCGGGGCTTGCGCAACGTTGTGAAGTTTTGATTGATGGTCATGGTTGTCACACTCGATACTTAAACAATTTCTGTTTATTTAGGATAAGTTTTGTTCAATTTAAGTTTTTCAGTGAATACCTCGTGGTTACCAATTTTAAGGGTATTAACCCTTTTCCTGTGGCTCATTTTCCAACTGTATTATGATTTTTGGAATTTTAGCATGCTGATAAATTAAAAGAACAATAAACTTTTCAAAAATAATCTCAGTATAAACCAAATAAAATATTTATTTTCACATATGCCCAAAAATAAAAGTGATCCTTAGCAAAATGTCTATTTAAATTACAGTAATACACATCCAAACAACATTTTATGTTCGGCTCCAGTGCCAATATTGGATCATTAGAACTGTTTCTGAGACCTATAATTATCACTTGGGTATATAAACTACTCTGTGGATATATGATTTTCATAGGAGCTAGGGCAGTGAAGCTACAGAAAGGACGTGTTCCCGGACATGTGACCGCAGTAGCTGTGACAGCCTATCCGCATCTAAGGAGCTGTCCAACCTTAGAGCGTGACCTGGATGGGCTAGGACATTTTGAATATCCGAGGGCCCGGTAAGCTAACGCTTACCCCCTCAAGACGACCGAACACGGGGCTTCGCCCGTGAAGTGTAGTCTATAAACCCATCAACCAACCAACCAACCAATATATGATCTTACCATCAACATCGCCCCGGACCACTAGGTGTTTATGTACACTGGTACTAGGATAATTGCATTGCTAAAGTATCCACTTTAAAACCAGCTTACATCTTACATGTATACCTGTCAACTCACCCGGATTGTCTGGATCACACCCGGAAACAAGACCCTCCACCCCGAAAAAATTATGACCCGAACGGGTCATCATTTCACCCGTTTTTAAATCTATGACCCGAGAAGACCCGGATTCTCAAACCCATTTTCACGCTTTTTATTTCAAATAATTTGATCTCATGAAAAATCGTCCCATTTTGACTTGGTATGAAATTGGTCACAGGAAAAGAAACGAAATTTGGTCAATCTTTGTGAAAAAACAATAGCTACATGGATTCACACTGACCTTGGTCACACGCAAGCCACTTAGGCCCCAACAGGGGAAAGAGAAGGAAAATAATCAAATCCTTCTACTTTTGTATCAATTTAGGGGTATTAACCAAACCTGTTCTTGAGAATCTTTAGACAAAGAAGATCAATTGTGTATAAACGGTGGATATGGCCCCCCTTTTGGGGCAGAGGGTTTGGACCCATTCAGGGAAATAGAGGAAAAGATTAAAAGTTCTTCTCCTTTTGTACTGATGAAAGGATTTGAACCAAACTTGTTCTAGAGCATCTACGGGTGAGGAAAATTCAATTTAACTGAGAATGTGGCCACCCTGGGGAAACAGGGGTGGGGCCCAATAGGAGAAATAGAGGTACATCATTTTTAAAAGCTGTCTCCTCCTGGGTGAAAAAAGAGATGATCACCAATATCAGATTTCACCATATTTTACCCCTCAACCTTGAAAATAGCTCTTTGCAACAGCATGCTTCTGGCCCATTTTCAACACCCTAGACCTTTTGGTAATTCATGAGAAGTCATTTAAAGATTTCAACCTATTTCACCCATGTGACCTTAAATTTTGGAGAAAGTCATTCTTTTAAACAAAGTTAGTAGCCCTTCATCCCAGCATGCTTCTGGCCAAATATCATTACCCTGGACCTTTGGTAAGTCAGAAGTTGTTTAAAGTTTTCACTATATTTATCCTGTGTGACCTTGAATATGGGATAAGGTTAATTATTTCAACAAACTTGATAACCCTTCATGCCAGCATGTTACTAGCCAAATATCATCACCCTACACTTTTTGGTTATTCAGAAGAAGTCGTTTACAGTTTTAACCATATTTTATCCTGTGACCTTGAATATAGGCGAAGGTCATAAATTTGAATAAATTTGGTAGATCTATAGAACAGCATGCTTCTGGCCAATTTTCACCAACCGGGACCTTTTGGTAATTCGTTCTTTTAAAAATTTCAACCTATTTGACCTCTGTGACCTTGAATATGGGAGAAGGTCATTCATTTAAATAAAGTTGGTAGCACTTTATCCAAGCAACGTGATCTGCCCAAACATCATCTCCCTGAACCTTTTGGTAATTCAGAAGAAGTCGTTTAAAGTTTTCCCCATATTTGACTCCTGTGACCATGAATATAAGTCAATGTCACTCATTTGAACACATTTTGTAGCTCTTCATCCTAGCAGGTTATTGCCCAAATATCAATATTATTGGCAATTTGGTTATTACAAAGCAGTCATTTGAATATTTTTTAAGATAATCAACCCCCGTGACCTTGAATATCAGTCAAGGTTTTTCATTTTAACAAAGTTAGTAGCTCTTTATTCCAGCATGGCACTGATTAAATTTCATCATCCTTGCCCTTTTAGTTATTCAGAAGAAAACGTTTAAAGGGACAATTTTATTTTATCTATTTATCTTGCTACAAAATTCCTCATGATAATATAGTTTGATACTCCTTATGAACAATTGTAGGAATACTTTCCTAAGTAACTGATCCCCATAGACAAACAGTCTGTTTTTGGTGGTGATTGTCTAATTGTCTATGGGTCTACCATTAAAATTGAACATTGAATATATTGTTCATTGTCAATTATATATAAAAACATGGAAACCAACATAAAGACTTTCATGCACTGATATATGTTAAGCTCCATCAATCTTCCAATTAAAAACAAGCGATGACAGAGAGATTAAATGAATATTATGATGTCATCAACATCTATCACTTTCGGTCTGCTGCCAAATCTCCATCCCAGTGGAAATTTACCAACAATCTCCATCCAAGTAGAAAACCAGCAATCATGCTTTTTCAAAACCTTCTGGGATAATAAACATTATTAGTTAGCCAATAGGCAACAGTTCTAGTTTTCCAAGAAATTTTCTATTGGGAGTTATACACAAATTTGAGGTGAAAATGCTGATGTTTGCCTAATTTGCCCCAAATATCATGATAAGTTAATTTTCCAATACCTGACATTATAATTATGAATTGTGTTAGAGTTTGGATTCGCCTTTTCAGCTAGCATTATCTCTAATAGTTTAAAATAACCTCAGTTTTTATTTATTGCATTCTTGCATATGTTTTTTATATTTGCCATTAACAAAGTCTGTTTTGTTTGAAGATGTGAACCCAACCATGTGAAGGGTGACAAATTGTGTTATGGCCAGGACTTTTTCCTCTGCACCATGGATGGTGAGGGTGGTGATGTAAGTAACACTTCAAAATTCATGTGCTCCTTAAATTGGGAAAATATTTTGATGACTAGAGCTAAAATAAAACTGCAGTATAAATAGATCCATAATGCTTACTAAAGCATTCACTTTCTGATTTCCTGAATTTTTTGAGGAGTGGAGATAAATTCAATGCTTTGGAGAAAATGTTTGAGTGAACACTTTCATACCCAAAGCATCGCTGGGGACAATAGCAAGTTTAATATCTATAAAACATTTTTTTCAGAGATCTTACTTAGCAACCAGTCATTATCAAATTGTTCAATTAATTTCTTGGACAGATTTTTATCAACTAATTAATGTAAGTTGTTTTGAGGAAAATTGTGTGTGTTCTATTTCATGATTCAGGGGTATGAATACTAAAGTTCTACAGGCCAAACGTATGTTCATAGTAAATATTAATACTTTCACTAGCTCTGCACTGGAGTCAAAATGACAGCTTTTTACCTATCAGTGTTGCATGTAAATTGTCGTTTTACACGAATAAATGCCACAAACTTTAATTATGTGATAAAAAGGATCTTACACTGGTTTTCATTTCATAGGAACTTTATGAAACTCATCACAAATTTTTCATTTTTGCTCGTCAGAGGCTCTCTTAATTGAACAAAAGGCCCAATGGGCCTGAATTGCTCACCTGGTATTTATCTCACATTTGTAATCTTAAAAGTGGACCAAAATACAGCTACAGGCAGAATATCAGTGTTTGATTCAGAAGAACTTATTAAAAGATTTAAACATATGATGCCTGTAACCTTGAATGTTGAACAAAGACTTTAGGTTGAACAGAGTTTATAGTCTTCCAACCCAGCATGCTTCTGGCAAAATATCATTACCCTGGACCTTTTGGTTATACAGAACAAATCATTTCAAGATTTAAACATATATTGACCACTGTAACATTGAATATGGGCAAAGGTCATTCACTTGGTAGTCCTTCATGCCAGCATGTAAATGGACACATATCATCAACCTTGGCCTTTTGCTTATTGATAAGAAGTTGTTTAAAGGTTTTAAATATATTTTAACCCTTTGACCTTGAATATATGTCAAGGTCATTCATTTGAACAAACTTGGTTGCCCTTTATCCCAGCATGCTACTGGCCGAATATCATCATCCTAGGTTTTTAGGTTATTGAGAAGAAAATGTTTAAAGGTTTTTCAAAAAACATATTTGACCCCTGTGACCTTGTATATACATCAAGGTCATTCATTTGAACACACTTGGTAGCCCTTTATCCCAGCACGTTAGTGGCCAAATTTCATTATCCTAGGCCTCTTGGTTATTCAGGAGATGTTGTATAAAGGTTTTTAACATATTTGACCCCTGTGACCTTGAATATAGGTCAAGGTCATTTAATTGAACAAACTTGGTAGCCCTTTATCCCAGCATGCTGTTGGCCAAGTATCATCATTGTAGGACTTTCGGTTATTGAGAAGAAGTTGTTTAAAGGTTTCAAACATATTTGACCACTGTGACCTTGAATATAAGTAAAGGGATTCATTTGAACACATTTGGTAGTTCTTCATCCCAGCAAGATACTGGCCAAATTTCATTATCCTATGCTTCTTGGTTATTGAGAAGAAGTTGTATAAAGTTTTTAAACATATTTGACCCCTGTGACCTTGAATATAAGTAAAGGTCATTGATTTGAACAAATTTTGTTACCCTTTATCCCAGCATGATACTGGCCAAATTTCATTATCCAAGGGCTTTCGGTTACTGAGAAGAAGTTGTTTAAAGGTTTTAAACATATTTGACCACTGTGACCTTGAATATACATCAAGGTCATTGATTTGAACAAATTTGGTAGCCCTTTATCCCAGCATGTTAGTAGCCAAATTTCATTATCCTAGGCCTCTTGGTTATTAAGAAGTTATAAAAAGGTTTTTAACATATTTGACCCCTGTGACCTTAAATATAAGTTAAGGTCATTTATGTGACCAAACTTGGGAGCCCTTACTCCCAGCATTCTATTGGCCAAGTATCATCACCCTAGGACTTTCGGTTATGGAGAAGAAATTGTTTAAAGGTTTTAAAAGAATTTGACCACTGTGACCTTGAATATAAGTAAAGGTCATTCATTTGAACAAATTTGGTAGCCCTTCATCCCAGCATGTTACTTGTCATATTTCATTATCCTAGGGCTCTTGGTTATTCAGAAGTTGTATAAAGGTTTTGAACATATTTGACACCTGTGACCTTGAATATAAATCAAGGTCATTCGTTTGAATAAACTTGGTAACCCTTCATGCCAGCATGCTACTGGCGAAATATTATTATAGTAGACTTCTTGGTTATTGAGAAGAAGTTGTTTAAAGGTTTTAAACATATTTGACCCCTGTGACCTTGAATATAAGTAAAGGTCATCCATTTGAACAAATTTGGTAGCCCTCTGTTACTTGCGAAATAGCAAGTGCCAGAAGCATACTGGGATAAAGACCTACCAAGTTTGTTCAAATTAATGACCTTTACCCATATTTAAGGTCACAGGGGTCAACTATGTTAAAATCTTTAAGCAACTTCTTCTTAATAACCATAAGGACCAAGACAATGATATTTGGCTACTGGCATGCTTAGATGCAGGACTATCAAGTTTTTTAAATGAATGACCTTTACCCATATTCAAGGTCTCAGGGGTCAGATATGTTAAAATCTTTAAACAACTTCTTCCTTATAACCATCAGGACCAGGGCAAAAAGATAGTTGGTCAGTTAGCATACTTAGATGAAGGGCTATCAAGTTTGTTTAAATTATAATGAACTTCACCCATCTTCAAGGTCACAGGGGCCAAATGTCTTAAAACAAGAGGCCCAAGGTCCTTAGCGGTCACCTGAGTTATATTATAGGTACTGGTAGCTCAATTTCATTGTTGAAATCAACATGTAAACTAAGTGAAATCAAGGGATAAGAATTTTTAAAAATTGGTAAATTTTCCCTTTGGGGCCCCGCCCTAGCCCCTGGGGTTGGGCCAGGAACCCAATTTTACATTGTATAGACCCGTACACGTTCGCTGTTCCACTTTCAGCGTACCGTTTGCGTAGCATGTGTATCACTTGCGTATCACTTGCGTAGCATTTCCGTAGCACTTCCATATTGTTTCCGTAGCACTTGCGTCTACATCTTTCCATTTAAAAAGCGTTTGTGAAACATTCGGTCGAAGAAAATTTTACGGAATATATATTTGTCGAAACGAATTGTAAAAAACAAATCATTATAAACCGCATTATGTGAAAATAATTCCAACTATCATAATAGTCTGAAGGAAAAAACCCACAAAAATGACGGTTTACACATACCTGGATGTAACAGCCCTCCTCCAATTGGCCTACTGTGTGTTCCCCACACCAGCAGCTAGGCCTTATAGGGGTAATTTAAATAACAGGCATACAGCTGGCCATGTGGTAATGACCTGTCCCTTGTTGAAGGTATAAACACTTTAGTGGCCGTTATAAAGGTTGTTAGGGCAACATGACCACCCGCTGACAGATACATTTCTTTCAATATGATACATGTATCTATATACCTGAGAATATAGGCAGTGATAATGCATTGACCATTTACCTGTGGTCACATTGGATTCTGATGTGCTTGACTGATTTTTGACACCTTTATAATTACCACACACAGAGAGGGCACTCTGTTAACAAACTTACTATAGACAGAGACGTATTGTAATATATACGTCTCTGCTATAGACAACAATGAATCACACTCTATTTTCTCAGGAACTCAGTCACATGATGACAATAAAGTTATCTTAAAAATGATTTTTTTTAATGATTACTGAAAAATATCATCATTTTCAATAATCTGATATGAAAAGTTTGTTACGTTTTAGCACGGAATTAATCCGTGGTATTTAGGGTTAGTATTCAACCTTGCTCGCTGATAACAGAACTCATGATAGATTATTTAAAAAAAAATAGATTAGTTTTAAAACAAATCATCTACGTGAGAAGTTAAATATCCAAATAAGGGTCATTTTTTTATTATTAAATTAGGAATTCCAAGTTAAATATTAGTTTACCTTGGTTAGGGCACTGTTGTGAAATGAAATTGTGCCTGGGGCTGTCATTTCCTGATCGAGGCACAGCAAAAGTATCTTACCTGTAGGTTTTTACCTTGAAATGATTTACCTGTATACAGCTGTAAGTTCATCTACTGCATACTTCCCACCTCTCACAATGGAAAACTGTGGGCAATAAATCACTTGCTACCACAGTCCACATACTGCACACATAATCCCCTTTCATGGCCAATCATGATCACATGACCATGAAAGGGGGTGTGCCCAATGGACTGTGGTCACAAATGCTGTAAGAAAAGGGGAGATAATCAATATGTAAGTAACGATGAAGTCAATACAGTGGAAAGGGTAAACTTAGTTGACACATTTAAAATAAGAAAAAAAAAGAGTTAAAAATGGTTATTTCATGATTGAAAAACAAACAATAGAAATTACGGAGTTGGCAGCGTTATTGATTTCCTTATCACGTGAGAGCTAGGATAAGCATTTCCTGGAAAAGTTAATAATCTTCAGGAGCTGTTTCTTTATACAAAATTGCACATTCAAATATACCATTCATTGAAAGAACTGGAATTCCTTAGGGATTGATAAACCCTTACATTGTATACATGAAAATGGTTTCAATATCCTGTACCTTTGCCACATCTTGAAAATTAAACTGAAAATGTAGTCAGAATTCAACAGTTCCCCTATTTTGTTCTAATTGTTGAACAGACACTCCTTACCTTCCCTGACACTGGACCTGGATAGTTATCCAAAACCACTTGTATCCATTATGAAGGATACACTCAGACTGGGCTATTGAGAATAAAGACAATACCTGGTTCTGATTAGTACTCACTCACACATGTACATGTAAATTATCTGCATTGTAGGGTAGGTAAAATGATTGTCCAGGTGAACATTTTTTCTGTTTTGTTCGAGTTGGGAAGCATGTAGTAAGCC